TCAGTCCCTATCAGCATATGTTGTCGGCACCGCTGGAATCGTTCCGCAATCGTCGCAATCCGATCGTTGAGTTTGACGACAGACAATACCTGCACAGAACGTGCAGTATGGACTTGCTTCTGCAATTGGCGGAGAATGACTTGGAAAGCCCCATGTCCCATGCACCTTTGATGCTCTGTTTGCCGCCCTTCTAGACCAATTCAATTCAGCATATTTCTAGGCGCTGGTGGAGATGAACCCCGTCAACTGGAAAGATGTGGGGTTTCTAAGGCGCGATAGTACCGATGACCATGAAAATGTAACTGCGCAAATTATCTGGACCCAGGACACGCGTCGAATTCTTGGGCGCTTGTCGTGGGCTCGGGGATCTGGTCGTGAGCCACGCCGGCTCCGTCGAACACCTTGCGGTATGACGTTAAAGCATTCTGTTGCGTCCCTAATTGTCCGCCTTGGTGCTCCTGCCGTTCACGTCCGCAGACAGACGTCATCGGGACCGTTTCCACGCTCCCGCCCCGCGACGCCGATGTTGCATACCCATCTTCTGCTGTTATTCTATCGTTCGGTAACTTTTTGGGATCTCGAGGTCTCGTTTTACTGTGCAGTTTAATTAGTGACTCTAAGGGGTATGTTGACATTCGAAATCTGCGGCGGAAGGCAGCTGCCACGGAGCGTGGCCGTTAGATAGCAGTTCTGCGGCAGGTAGGAACTCATGCTTCTCGTCATCTCCTAGTTTGATTCCTATGTGTAGATTTCTCCGTACGGTAGAAACACCGCTGCCGCTGCTGGAGTGCTCGAATGTAGTCCAAAGTGTGTATGTCTAACTACGCTTCCTCCGCCGTCGCTTGTTTTTCGTTTCGCGCTTGACGCGGACTTCCGGGTCCATTGCCTTCTCTGGCACCCACCAGGACCTATCTTCGTCTGCTCCGTCGAAATTCAAGAACAGTATCTTGTACCACAGTGCTTTGCCCCTGACCTGCGTTTGTAGTATCTCAATCCCGTCCCGGAAACCCCGATAAGTTCTTTTGAGTTCAGCAATGCTCTGGTCAGG